AGCCAAGTGTACGCGCCTCTGATGGTTGCCAGAAGTATGAGCATACACGCTCTCGAGCACAACCTTGGTTGCAGTAATGATCATTTAATGTCTAGTATACGCATGGTTGGTGGTGGCAAGTATGCAAAAATAAATGTTTTGCAAAAACAACTAGTTGAGGCAAAGTAACAAACTGCCAAGTTCCACATATTTCATTTTTTCGTTGCCATAAGGCATGGATCGAGATCGTTTATTTGTTCCTGAATTTATGTAGGTGAAAGACGAGCGCGGCGGTCCTAAGGACAATGTCCCGTCTGGAACGAGACGGAGAACATTCAATATGGCATTGAGGAAGCCAGGCCTCAGGGTGCAGGAGAGATGGCCCTCAATAATGTCCTGTGCCACCACAAGGTTCTAACGTGGTGGCCAGATCATGGCCTTCTCCAAATTTTATGTCCATGAAGGCCCTTGGTTGTTTTGATAGTAATTGTTTGTTTACTACTCGAAAGGTAAGCTGGTCATGAGGCCGGTACGACTTGCATCCAGCCTCACCTCAAATCCAACGGCATGGTATGTGTTATATTGGTTCAACATCGAGGGGCGGGCGGAATGCTAAATCCACAGATCGCTCACCGCAGAACATGTCGAAGCACTCCAAATCCTGAGGCACCAAAGAAAACCAATTCAGATATAACAAGTCCCAACTATAGGTTCATGGCGCGACCAAATTGTTTGTAGTTCTTCTGCACCACAAAGTCTACAAGGTGGAGCCTAGGCACCCCGTGTTGTTCCACAACAACATTGTTGAACCCTGGGAATAGGCACCAGACAATACCAGCGGTGCGCCCAAAAACAAAGCCATTTGAGCAGCGCATTGAGTGAGCCCCAGCTCGCTCTTTTGCCAACACGCAGACCGTGCAGGTGGCATTATTCACTTGCTCTTAACAAAGGCCGGCAGCTGACTGAACCAAAAAAACTCGATCGAAACAATACGAATACATTGGTGATCTATATAATAATAGTGTCCAAGAACACAAGTCTCCAAGAACAAGTTTCTATTAGTGTCGCGATTTGTTTTTCTTTTTTGTGGCAGACAAGTCGACTCTGGTAAATGAGATTGAAACGTCAAAAGCCACACTTTTCAGGAACACCAGTCAAAGACCAGCTCTATCCTTCATTTGAAGTGTGCGATCCCCACCATCAAAATTAGACCGTGCCTAGATGTCAGACACATGTCCACTTGCTCAGAACTGGGTCCATTTTGCCAGGCGCCTGGCGAAATCTCACCTCAGATTTCCGACCACATGTGAAAAAATAAACATATTGCATACACATGAACAATACTATTAAGCATCGTTTTAAGAGTCTGGCGCCTGCGCAATCCCCCCGTGCGTGCCCCACGTGACTGTCACTCCTCCATTCGAGTTTGCCTCACCAAAGATGAATTAAGAGAAGTCGACCAGAAGGAGGCAGCGGGTTGAATCACCTAGCAAACCTGCCTTGAAGGACTTCTTAAAGTGTGTGTTGACTTCATCAACAATGCTGCCGTCGATCTGGGTGACATAGAAGGATCCAGTCAACCTCAATTTACAAAGGAGCTCTATGGAGTTCGTGTTACTTCAACTAAATATAGATAATAGGATGAACCATGATGAACCCATAAGTCTCCCACAAAGTCTGGATTTGCGAGCAATCCTTGAACCCAGCGTCCAGCACTTCTTTGGGTGGTTCCATGGTCCAGGACCTAGGGGCTAGAGCAAGATTGATGAATCAAACACTGACTTGTTTAAGTATCAGACATGGCAGTTTGCAGCCTTTCCTCACTGAGACCAATCTGGAACATGTTATCTGGAACACTTTGGAGCAAAACGGCTTCCTGGAGGTGCTTGCTGCGCGCTTCCTGGACGAAGCATTTATTTGAGGCCAGGACACGCGGCAAAACAAGACGAAACTGTGGGTTCTGTCCTGTCGATAGGCTTGTCTTTTTTCTTTGCAGCTTCTTTCGCGTCTCCCTGGATAGATGGGTCACAGGTTGGTGAATTCAAACAAACAAAATGTTGATCAACGTTGGTGAACTGTAGCAAGCCAGCCTCGACGGGCTCGACTGTTCTTTTCTTCGTTTTTGCAGCCTCGCTGCCCACCGCCTCATCATGCTCATCACCCGTCCCATCAGCATCATGTGTCTTCTGTGCTTTCTTTTTGGAATTTGCTTTGCTTCTTGCCAGCTTCCGCTTCTTTCCATTGTCCTCCTCTCCATCAAGCGCCCTTTCTAAGCCATTTGCTATGTCAACGGCTTCCATGGCATCAGCTCCTTCGCTAGCATCATCATCACCATTTCCATTATTCTTCTCTGCGGTTGCAGGCTCAGGATCCGATTTCTTTCCCCGACCTTTGCCTCTTCCTCTGCCTTTCCCTTTGCCTGGTTTTTTCTCACGCTCCGCTTTCTTTTGTGTCCTGAGTTGTTCGCGCAGGAGCCGTTGTTCTTCCAGAAGGGAGGCAATCATAGCGTCCTTTTCCTTTTCTGACAACGGTGGGGTCGGCAGGAGTTCAGGAACCTTCTGCAACAAGGGCCGTGTATCCTGAAAAGTGCCCTTGTTTTGGTCTTGCATTTCCCCAGGCAAGTCATCGTTTAGCCTCTCCTCAAGCCTCCTTGCCTCTTCTGCTTCCTTTTCCTTCCTTTGTGCCTC